TGGCCCTACATAGTTCTAAGTGACAACAGTGCTGTTTACCAAGGCACTGCAGATGACCATCATCAGCCAGAAAAAATTCCTGAATTGCTACAGTGCAATTTGTGGGAATCCACTGGTTTTCCACAATAGAACACAGATGCTTTTGGCAACATAACCAAATGAATACTCTTAACAGCAGAAGGATTTACTTTAAGTTTTTTATTTTCCCTTTTTCTTCTTAAAATGATTTTCATTAACCTGGACCGGTAAGAGGTCCTGGATGACCATCACTACCTCTAGATTATTGGAGGTATGCAAATATCAAATGGGGTGAATAAAAGAATATCCTATCTACTTTATAATGATATCTCTAGCTTCTAGAACATCTAATTTGTCAAATAATCAACATCTCAGTCCTCTACAGATACCTTATCCATTAACGTCCCCTACTTGGGACATAGCTCAGAATGAGGGAGTTAAAATGACTGCTCACCAGCCCAAACTGATGTCACAAGGTCTAGAACCGAAGTGCACACATTTCATGTGCACAGGACCCTCTCAAGACCTCATTTGCACTTAGTAACTTTCAGTTTAGAACATTTTAAATCAAAGCTGGATATCTGGTTTCTAAAATCAGAAAAAAGAAAGAAAAGATTGGCATAACGACAAAAGCAGCTAAGAGCAAGAAAGAAGAACGAAAAAATTATGAAAAAAAAATCAAAAAGTCTCCAAACAATAAATGCTGGTGTGGATGCGGAGAGAGAGGAACACTCCTACACTGCTGGTGCGACTGCAAACTAGTCCAACCTCTGTGGAAAGCAATAATGGAGATACCTTAAAGCGATACAAGTGAATCTACCATTTGATCCAGCAATCCCATTGCTGGGCATCTACCCAAAAGATCCAATGACACTCTACAAAAAAGACACCTGCACTCAAATGTTTATAGCAGCACAATTCATAATTGCAAGGCTGTGGAAACAGCCCAAGTGCCCATCAATCCAAGAATGGATTAATAAAATGTGGTATATGTATACCATGGAGTACTATTCAGCTCTAAGAAACAACGGTGATATAGCACATCTTATATTTTCCTGGTTAGAGCTGGAACCCATACTACTAAGTGAAGTTTCCCAAGAATGGAAAAACAAGCACCACATATACTCACCAGCAAATTGGTATTAACTGAGCAGCACCTAAGTGGACACATAGGTACTATAGTAATAGGGTATTGGGCAGGTGGGAGGGGGGGAGGGAGACAGGTATATACATACATAATGAGTGAGATGTGCACCATCTGGGGGATGGTCATGCTGGAGACTCAGACTTGTGGGGGGAGGGGGAGAATAGGCATTTATTGAAACCTTAAAATATGTACCTCCATAATATGCCGAAATAAAAACAAACAAACAAAAAAACATAAACATCTCAAATAGTACAGCAGCTGGGGGCTATTTAATATAGACTCAAAATGGATTGTTTTACCTCATCATAGGTCCTTGGAGGTTCATAATTATTGTTCAATCTTTAATACTCAATAAAATTACCCTAAGTTTTAAAATCAAGATTGAACAAATAAAGAAAGATCCAGCTAGAACACCGATATTATCGCAGCAGAGCTAAAAATACTACAGTTATGCTGCTTAGTGAACCAGATTTACCCCATTTGGTTTCCTCATTAATAAGTTAAATAGATCTCTGTCCTCTATTCATTATTTATACGAGCTGTGTTTACTTTTTGAAAATTACGCTCTGACAATTTGGAGGTCCCAATGAAATGTTCAAGTGACTCATCCTGTACAGTCAATTAAACTGCACTGCCCATGAAGAATAGCTCACGGGCTGCAAACCTAGGCACATCTTTTCTTAGCTCCTAGAGTAAATCCCAAATGGCAGTAGAACTTTACCTTCATTGATTACCTATTATGTACAATTTTTGTTTTACTGACTCTGTGCTTTTATTTTTGTTTTTGATCCCTGGTCAAATTGGATCAGGGTTTTGGTCTGCACACAACTGATAGTTATCCCATTGATGACAGTGGGGACTGAATCTGGTTTTGCAGTCTGAGCACTTAGTGCTCTGTCAGGTAGCAATGAAATCTAGCCTTGATCAGGTGAGAGATGACAGAGCATTTGTTTGTTGTTTTTGCTGTTTGTAATTTGTTTGTGTGCTTTTTTATTTATATAATCAGCTCAGGAAAATATTTTGGAGACCAATGGAAAAGCAATCAGTCTTTTGAGATCTGGAGGAGTGAGATTTTGTGTTCCAGCATTTATTTTTGCTGTGGAGTTGAAGCTGTAGGACTTAGGCTATGAGCTCTTTGTTTGTCTCTGTACCCAAGAAAAAAATCATTGTGTATAGGTGAAATATTTTCCTCCCTCCTCAGGATAATAAATTAAAATAGAGGAGTTTTGCAATTCTGATTGGTTTGTAGAGACTAACAAGTATTTAATAGATCTAACATTCCCAAAATTCTAAAATAAGGTGAAATTCAATACTTTAATTGTGCTGTCCTTTTAAGAAAAAGACCTTTCTCAAAATTGTTGACTCAGAAGCATTTTTTCCCCATTAGAAAACAAGTTTGCACAATTAAAATGAATCCTTACACAAATCAGACTGATTTGATAATTTGGTTTAAAAACAGCTATATGTCTTTTTCTTGTTTTATCAGTGTATAATATAAGCAAAATTTTATTTTTTAAAAAAAGATTTGGATGTTTTATGATAAAGAGACTAGTTTATCTGAGCTTCTGAAATGTCTTCTATTAATTTACTGAAAATATAAGCTAAGATTACTTCCATAATATTAAGACAATTATCAAATTTGTACTCACCTACACCAAAATAAAATTGTGGCAAACCTTTTTATACCAACAGTAATTATGTTCTGTAATGCGTCCATTTGAACACAATTTCCAAATAAAATAAAATAAAATAAAATAAAATGTATGATAAGCACCCTGTTAATATAAAACTAAAATGTAGTTATCTCTATTAAAATGACAGACCGATCTTGGAAACATCAGCCTATGCTTACAAAACATAGCAAAAGGTTATTCTTCTATGTAATCTGCCCAGAGAACAGAGATTCTCACAAGAATAACTTTTTGTGCTTTGTGCTACTTAAGATATGTCCTTGCATATGTAAAATTAAAAAGTTCCTCATTTCTGGATGATTTAAGGTTTCCTGCTTACCATAAAATAATTTATTATCACTTTATTAACTAGACAAAGTGCAAACATTCACTGTTCTCAGGTATCCACAAGCCTATATTATTCAATTGGTCTCCTCTGATTGATATTTGATTCTGCCTTCTCAAGATCAGACAGACCCTATATTCAGAAAGAAACATTTTTTCCAAGATACCTTATACCTGAACTATCTTTAGGTTTTCCCAGAGGATCTCTGGGCAATTACAAAGATTTGTTCTTTAACCTTACAAAAAGAAAGATGCTAGAAATAATTACATTTGTTTGTTATATCCTTTAGTTTTAAGTAGCCCAACATTATCAAGAATCGTGTAAGAAAATCTGTCACATCAAATTAGAAGCTCAGCCTTCCCTAGGATAATTTTGTACAGGTAAAATATTAATACTAATAATGCTCAAAGGTTGTGCACTTTACAAAAAGGCCCCAAATATTTCAATCCCGTTGCTCTCTGTAATTATGTTCTTACTCTCTGTAATTATGTTCTTACTCTCAGGGGAAACATTGATTAAATAAGACCAACTTCTTATGCCCCAATAAAGAATTTTAACTCTCCTAGCTGATATTGTTTACCATAGCCACTTACTCCTACATTTACCAAGTGGTCTCTACCTTTCTCTTGTGTTTGCCTACAGACTACTATATGCCTTTAACAAAGAAAGACAGTTTCAGAGCCTCGTGGATAGGACTTTACCAGGTACTCTTAACTTCTGATATTTCAAAGAACAGACTTATGGATAGAGGCTTCTGAGCTGGCATTGCATGGACAAGACTGAGACAGTACTGGCCAGCTAAATCAGAATCTATCATCCCCTTCAGAAGCTGTTTTATGACTAAAAGTTTAACAAAATTAAAAATTAAGAATATGTTGTCCCTTTTACTGGATGTAATCAGACAAATAGACTATGCAACTAAGGCCAACCCTAGAGTGTCAAATTTTAAAATAAGCCTCATTTCATCAGGTATGATAAGCCCACCATTAAGGATGAGGGGTTATAACTTCATATTTAGAGCAAAATACCCACAAAGCCTTCCCAAAAAGTTGAGCCTGTTTGTGACTTACACCAGCCCAACCTTACAGGTAGTAAAGAAGGTCACTTCCTAGATTGCCAGGAGCCTTAGAAGATTTGGAGAATCTGGAGGAAAGAGAAATTCACCAGTAATTAACAAATGATAAAGATGAAACCCAGAAGAGGTAAATTTCTTGAGTTTGGTTGCCTATCCTTGGAAGAATAAAAAGGAGCATGCATTCAAGGAAGATCTCTGGAGTGAGTGAGTAAGCATAAATTCATTTTAAATGGAGAAAGACAACTCAATCAATTTTGTGAAGTGTGGAGAAAAGTTTGAGTGCCATTGAGACAACCCTTTCACTTTCCAGACAATTTGCTATAAAGACAAATTCACTACCGAATTTCCACCAAGTCATGATTTTGCTGACTCAGACTATCATAACCACACAGATGCAAATTTAATGAATAAATAATACAAGTCAACATTTCCCCAATCTTAAAAGAAAAGTTTGTAAGACCTGTAAGAAATTCAGCAAAACTCACAACTACCTTTGTGATGTTTTTCAAGAATCTATAATGTGACAACTCTGCAGAGCTACCTCCTATAGACTTTCACAATACCCACAGGTGCCTAATAGTAGCAATCAGGGAAGAGGAAGAAGAGCAGGAGAGAGTCTAGGAAGGAACAACAGCAGCTGGCGAACACGGAAACTCTACACCCCACATATCCCTGGAGTCTGCCTCCAAGGCTGCCCTGTAGATGCTGGCCAATGAAACAGTGAGGTCAACAGATGCAGATTACCAATCGCTCCATCTCCTGCTCCCTGAGTCTTTCCTCCCTCTGCCGCCGATGATAATCCATCAGGTCGTCACGTCCAGAAATGGAGCTAATGCTGCTTTTCCGTTCCCGAAGGACAGGCTGAGGCGTTCCTGAGGCCTGTCTGAGGCTGTCCAAATCAGCATCATCAAACTCCACCGAACCACAAGAGAAGTTCCTTCTGGCCACAAACACTCTGTCCGGCTCTCCGGGAAGAAATGAATTGCTCGGACTCGTCCCCGAGTAGGGAGCCCTGTCAAAGTCGTCAGAGGCACAGGAGGAGGTGGAGGCCAGAAGCATCTTCCGAGCCACTCGAGGACTGGCAGGGACACTGAGGGTGGAACTTACATAAGGGTTGCCTTCAGACACAGAGGTTTTGTAGGGTAAAGCCCCTGAGCTTAAAGAAGAAAAATTAAGGTAATTGTCATTGTCTATTATGCTATGAGGTAGATCCTTTTCCCCAAGTTTTGGTCTTTTGGAATTGCCCAGAGAGTTTCTTGGAGGCAAGCTGAGAAGTGTCAGCTGGTTCTCTGTGGCTTTGTACAACCTGGGAAGCGACCGGCTATAGGCTCCCATGTGACTCAGGCTGCTGCCCGAATACTTCCTAGTTCTTAAACTGATGTTTTCAGATGCTAGCTCCTTGTGTCTGGCTAACTTGGGTTGAAGTGTCACGTTGTCTTGAATGTTCATTTTCCTGGCTTGCTTTGGGCTTGAAGGCATGCTCGCTGCTCCAGATCTGCTGACAGGAGAGGGGCCGGCATCACTCAGAGAACCTCCATTCCACATGGTCAGGAGTGAGCCAGATGCCTTTCGACCTTCCAGGCCTCCAAGAAAGTAGACATTGTCATGTGATTTATTCCTGGAGCTGTATTTGGAATAGGGAGGCTTCTCTGAAAGCCTCAAGGCCCTATCACCATCCCGGCCAGTATAATGATCAAAGTCCACTCTCCCAGGTGGATATCCACTGAGGGAGGGTGCAGTGTTGAGCAGAGCAGTGGGAGGTTTCATGGAAATATTTTTGTCAGTTCCATCACAAGAGAACTGCCTGCTTCCCTGGATTTTGACCAAGGAGGGGCTACTTCTGACACTGGTTCCCAAAGGAGAAGGGCTTCTCTTAGCAGGCACAGGCTGTGAGAGGGTTAAATAGGAGCCAGAATAGTCTCCATTGGCTTTAAATCTCAGACTGGAAGAGTATTTCTTTGGGCTGATGCTCTCCATCATGTTTTGGGAATTGTTCTCAAGGGAATGCTCCACAAAGTCTTCCTCTAAGCTACCATTTTGTAAATCCAGCTGTTTTTGGATGTGGCTATGCTCTGCCATGATCTTGCTGGAATCTGTAAAGGAATAAGAGAGAAAGTTTTACTTAAAAAAGATTTAAAAAGAACAGTCCCTTGTCAGACCTACATCTGAACAAATAACCTTGCAATTTAACCTAATGCAACTAACAAATACAAACTCTGTTTTTACTAATAAACCTATTCAAACCATACTGCAAATTGAAGAAGAATAAAGGCCACTGATCTGGGGTGTTTACTGTACAAAAGAAAAATTATTCAAGAGGGCAACATTGATATTTGAGGGAAACAAATCTCTAACCAAGTGAAGATGCAAGATTAGGCTGGAAAAAAAGACAATCTCCTTTTAAAATTCTACTTTTTGGAGGACCACCTGCTTCCTGAGTGTTGAGCAAATGCCCAGAGGGACAATGCAATGGACCTTGCTTCAGTTGCCTCTATTAGAATCATTAACTGCTCAGAAATAAACTCCTGAGGAAAAAAATTCACATTTTGGCAAAGAAAAAAAATTTCATGTTAGACATTGATCAGTAACATGACAGTAGGAAGCTGGTTCTTTAAATGAGGCCTCTGGGAGTTATCTTCTCAAGAAGAAGACTTAAGGTTCCTGTACTCATCAGAAAGAGGCAGGTAATAATAGAAGGAAAAATGTTCCCCAATTTATTGCCACATGATCAGGGTGGTGAATTTAAAAATCTGAAACTGTTGTATCCTTAAAATTCCCTGGTACCCCCCCAAAATGCACCATGCTCATTCTTGACATCAAACCTTCTCCTCTAGCATAAATACCTTTCTCCCTCTTGTGTACCTATCAGAACCCATCCATTCTTCAAGGTACAGATGAGGAATCTATCTTCTACAATTAAAAAATTTTTTTTCTTTTTGAAACAGACTCTCACTCTGTTGCCTGGGCTAGAGTGCCGTGGCATCAACCTAGCTCACAGCAATCTCAAACTCCTGAGATCAAGCAATCCTCCTGCCTCAGCCTCCCGAGTAGCTGGGACTACAGGCACGTGCCACCATGCTCAGATAATTTTTCTATATATTTTTAGTTGTCCAGCTAATTTCTTTCTATTTTTTTTAGTAAAGACAGGGTTTCGCTCTTGCTCAGGCTGATCTTGAACTCCTGAGCTCGAACGATCCGCCTGCCTTGGCCTCCCAGAGTCACAGTTAAAGTTTTTAAGAAAATTTATGGACCCACAAGAACATGCTTTGGAACCCAGTTTGAACAACATTAACCTAAGAAAGTAAAGTTTTAGTCTATATCTTTGAATTACAAACTATCACAGCAAATCAGGCTTATATTTCTAACTGATAAAAAGATTTTCCTTAGATTATCATCAAAGAGAAAACATAACTAAAACATTCTCATTGAACTCGTACACCACTAAACTATCCTCAAACCCTCAAGCACCTGAGACAGTAATTATTACATCTCTGGTCTATATATAAACAGTATCCTGCATAGGTAGCAATCAGTTTCATAATGTGGCTGTCTCCGTAATGAGGCGACCAGTTTAAGGAAGAGGGCTATGCCTAGTATTTCTATTTTATCTCCACCCCTCTGACTCCCACTGCCCATAGGTGAGAAACTCAGTGAACACAAGTTTTCTTTCTTCATCACAGCCTTCCTCACTCTCCCCTAGGCAAGGACTGAGGACCTTCAATAGACTTGCTCAGCTTCACAGACCTTCTGGGCACATTCAGGCAGCCTAGTAAACAACTGCTTTCTTCTAGGGTCAAGAAGCAGTGAGGCTGCTAAGTCCACAACTGCCCATAAAGGTACCCCCTCCTCCAATAAACTCTGCCTCAGTTGGGTTTCTTACCCTCCAACCCAAAGCCCTGCTTGGATGGATATAAGCATCATTTATCTTTTTAAGTGAACCTCAAAAAAATTGAGGTTCTCCATGATATTTGACTCCCAGCTGGGATCTGGTCCTGCCATCTCGCTCTTGTCAAGTCTTTCATTCGTCAGGGACATTGTCCTCTCTGCCTCCAAGACAAATGTCCTTCTTAGCATTTGTCATCTGCTGCCAATTCTAACTTTAAAAGCAACACCAACATGGTTTGAGCCACACCTCACCAGGCCCCCCTAGAGGCCTGAAACTAAGACAGCTCCTACTCTTGGTCCCTTCTATTCCAAACTAACTTCATCTCTGTTTGGTTGGCCATATTGAAATTCCAGCAAGTCTTGGCCAATTTTCTCAAGTTAAATATTTTGGAATTAAGAAAACAAGGAAATAGATGGCTTCTAAAGACATTACAGTGTTATTTATTATAATGGGAAAAATACTACAAATGTTTCCAAATAGGGAAAAAATGGAATAAACATTGATACATCAAATAAGAGAATATTACACAATTATTTAAAATCATATCTGGAAGTATATTTTGTAGCATAAAAAGTACATTTATATAATTTTAAATATATTTTTAAATGAGTACAGTTTTTTTAAATATAGACACTCATACACATGGATTATACACACACATGGGTATATCTGTGTATATGATGCCCACAATGAGTACAGTTTTCTTATACAGTTTGCCCTCAAACAATATAGGTTTGAGCTACACAAGTCTGTTTAGATGAAAATTTTTTTCAATAAATATATTTGAAAATCTTTTGAAGATTTGTGACAATTTGAAAAACATCACAAACTATGTGGGCTAGAAATAGAATAAAATTAAGGAAAAATGAGGTATGTCATGAATGCATAAAATATTTGGAGATACTAGTCCATTTCATCATTTACTACCATAAAAATATACACAAATCTATTATAAAAAGTCAAAATTTATGCATATACAGACTGTACATGATGCTATTCGCAGTAGAGAGAAATGTAAAAAAGTGTAAAAATGTAATATGCAATCATAACTGCATAAAATTAACTGTAGTCCATACTGTATTATGGTAATAATTTCATAGCCATCTCCTGTTGCTATTGTGTGAGCTCAACTTTTACAAGTATCCACCACGAGGATAATCACCTCTGTGTGAGCAGTTTGTCTTTCCAGCAAATTGCCTATTACAGTAAAAAGTGATCTCTTACAGTTCTCACGTATTTTTCGTCGTGTTTCGTGCAATACTATAAGCCTTGAACAATGCGATGGGACTTACACAAAGTGCCTCTAGAGATGCTGGAAGTGGTCCCAAATAACAGAGAAAAGACATTGGAAGGAAAAGTTTAATTGCTTAATATGTACTGTAGATTGACTGAGGCCTGCATCTTCCATTGCCACCACTTCAAGATAAATGCATCCAGCATAAGGACCATTGTAAAAAAGGAAAAGGAATTTGTGAGACTATCACTACAGCCATACCAGCAGGCATGAAAACCTTGCATTTTTTGTGAAATACATTTTTTTTATCTCATATTGAAAATGCAGCTTTTATGTGGGTTCAGGATTGTTATAGTAAAGTATACCTACGGACTCCTAAGATTTAAGAAAAGGCAAAGTCATTATATGACTACTTAAAGTAAAAGAAGGTGAAGGATTTAAAGTTGGAGAAGTTGATGCCAGGAAAGGATGGTTTGATAATTTTAGAAAGAGGTTTGGACTGAAAAAAATGTCAAGATAACAGGAGAAGCAGCTTGTGTTCACCAAGAAGCAGCAGATGAGTTCTCAGAAGCAATGAAAAAAAATCACTGCAGAGAAAGGGTATCTGCCTGAACAGGTTTCTAATGCAGGCGAAAGTGCCCTACTTTAGAAAAAACAAAAATGCCACAAAAAACATTTATTAGTAAGGAAGATAAGTGAGCACCAGGATTTAAGGCAGGAAGGGAGAGTCTAACCCTACTGTTTTGTGCAAATGCAGTCAATTTTATAATCAGGACTGTCTTTATCTATAAAGTTGGTAAACAAACCCCAGGCCTTGAAGGGAAAAGACGAACACCAGCTACCAGGCTTTTGGTTGTACAACAAGAAGGCCTGGACCATGAGAGCCTTTTTTCTGGACTGGCTCTATCGTTGCATTGTCCCTGAAGTCAGGAAGTCTCTTACCAGTAAGGGACTGCCTTTCAAAGTTCTTTGGATATTAGACATTGCCCCTGGCCACCCAGAACCCCATGAGTTCAACACCAAGGACAATAAAATGGTCCTTGCCCCCAAACACAATGTCTCTAATTTATCCTCTGGATCATAAGGACCTTTAAGACTCAGTACTCATATTACTCTATGGAAAGGATTATCAATGCTATGGAAGAGAACCTTCATAGAGAGAACATGAAGAAAGTCTGGAAGGATTACCCCACTGAAGACGCCATCATTGTTGCACACACACAAAAAAAAGCTATGAAAGCCATCAAACCTGAAACAATACATTCCTGCCTCAGAAAACTGTGTCTAGCTGTTGTGCATGATTTCACAGTATTTACACAGAGCCAATCAAGAAAATCATGAAAGAGACTGTGGATAGGGTAGGGGAAAAAAAGGTGAGGGGTGAAGAGTTTCAAGCTATGGTTCTTAGAGAAATCTAAGAGCTAACAGACACCACACCAGAGGAATTAACAGAAGACCACTGATGGAGATGAGTGCTTCTGAACCAGTGCCAGACAATGAGGATGATGACATAGAAGCAGCAGTGCCAGAGAATAAACTGATATCATCAGACAATCTGTCAGAAAGGTTCCAATTATTCGAGCCTGCTTTTGACTTCTTTTACGACATGGACCCTTCTATGATAAGGGCACTGAAACTGAAGCAAACAGTGGAAGAAGGACTGGTACTATATATAAAAACATTTTTAGTGAAACGAAAAAGCAAAAACGTCAGACAGAAATTACAATGTATTTCCATAAAGTTACACCTAGAGTGCCTGCCTCTCCTACCTCCCCTTACACCTCCTCTACCTCTTCCGCCTCTGCAACCCCAGGACAGCAAGGGTAACCCTTCCTCTTCCTCCTCCTCCTTAGCCAATTCAATGTGAAGAAGAAAAGGATGAAGACTTTTACGACGGTCCACTTCCACTTAATGAATACTAAGTATATTTTCTCCTCTTTATGATTTTCTTATAGCATTTTCTTTTCTCTAAC